GGGGGGGGGGGGGGTTTGGCTGCGGGAGGTTGGCTGTGGGAGCAAGCATACTGACCACCAGGGGGCAGCTCCTGTGTTGAGCATCTGCCCGTGGTGGTCAGTGCATGTCATAGCAACCAGTCGACTGGTCATTCTGTCGTTTGGTCGTTCAGTCACTTAGGCTTTTATATATATATAGATATATTTTCCATAATTCCCCACATTTTGCTGACTCTTTCAATTAATGGACTTTTCTCAATAAGCTCTGGTTCTTATCATAATTAGATAAAAGGGCTTCTACTGCAGGGCTACTTGGAGTGTGGTCCTTGGACCATAGCAGCATAATGAGGAAGTTTGCTGGAAATGCAGAATCTCAGGGCCCAATTTGGGAGCAATGTCCAAGAACTGTGTTTCTTTAAAAAAATAATTTTTAATTTTCCTATTACAGTTGACATACAATATTCTATTAGTTTCAGTTATACAACATAGTGATTAGACATTTATGTAACTTATGAAACAATTGTTCCGATAATTCTAGTACCCATCTGGCACCATACAGAGTTAGTATAGCATTATTGACTATATTCCCTATGCTGTACTTTACATCCCGAGACTACTCTGTAGCTACCAATTTGTACTTCTAAATCTTTTCCCCCATCCCCCCAACCTCTCTCCCATCTAGTAACCACAAAAAAGTTCTCTATGAGTTTGTTTGTTGCTTTTTTAAAAAATCTTTACCTGAGGATATGTTATTGAATTTTCATTTTTTAGAGAGGAAAGGAGAGAGAGAGAGAGAGAGAGAGAGAGAGAGAGAGAGAGAGAGAGATCAGTTGCCTTTGGTAAGCAACCTAACTGGGGATTGAACCCACAACCACTTTGGTGTACAGGACAACACTCCAACTAACTGAGCCACCCACCTAGCTGGGACTTGTTTGTTCATTTCTTTTTTAAGACAAGCTCTTTAGGCGATCCTGGGGCCCACTAAGGTTTGAGAAGCACTGCTCCAGTGGATTCATATATTGCTGGAAGCACTAAAAATGGATACAGCCCTTTTAGAAAGAAACATGGTAGAAGACTCAACAGGAATCCTAAGATTTCCATCTCAAACTGACTCAGCAATCTTCTAGGGATATTTCCTAATGAAATAATTCAAAGGATGAACAACTGAATAAAGATATCTATGCCTAAAGATATCCATGATTGCACTATCTGCAATAATAAACAATTAAAAACAATCTAAGCAAGAAGAGAAGAATGGTAAATAAATTACAGACAGTAAATAAAAATATAGTAAGGGTTTGTAAAATGATAACTGGTTTATAAAATTAAGTAAAAATGTAACATGCACTATGGTTATATTATGGAAATATAAATATCAAC